TACCTTTAACCAAAGGGCAGGCAGCACCTTTGGAGGTTTTAAGCTAATGAAGGAGAGGCCTCTACAGAGCAAAAGATCACAGCATGAAGCAGACCGGAAGGGAGGGGCCGTGGCTCAATGGCTAAAGCATCTGCTTGGCATGCAGAAGGTCCCAGGTTCAATCCCTGGCTTCTCCAGTCAAAAGAGCCAGGCTGTAGGTGATGTCAAAGACTTCTGAGACCCTGGAGAGCCACTTCCAGTCTGAGTAGACAGTGTTGTCTCCGATGGACCAATGGTCTGAGCTTCATGTGATCATGGAGAAGAGCAGGGCTCTTTTTGCAGAAAAAGCCCAGCAGGAACTCATTAGCATAATAGACCACACCCTGACAGCACCACTCATTAGCACATTAGGCCACACCCCCATGTTACCAGAAGTGTGGTCATCCAGCCACACCCACCTTTCCCTTCTTATTCTGTTTACCTTGTTTGTTGTCAAAACCCAGGGCCTTTTTTTGTAGCAGGAACTCCTTTGCATGTTAGGCCACACACCCCTAATGTAGCCAATCCTAATGAGTTTCTGCTGTTGGGTGTGGCCTATTATGCTAATGAGTTACTGCTGGGCGTGGCCAACTCAGGAGCCAGCCGGAACTCTGTTCCTGTGTGTTCCTGCCCAAAAATAGCCCTGGAGAAGAGCCTTCAACAAGGTGGCAGAGACCGGATTTGCAAAGCAGTCCTGGGTACCAGAATTAGGGTTGCCAGTTCCTGGTTGGGAAATACCTGGAGATTTTGCAGGTGGAGCCTGAGGAGGGCAGGGTTTGGGGCATAATGCCCTAGAGTCCAACTTCCAAAGTGGCCATTTTCTCCAGGTGAACTGATCTCTGTCACCTGGAGATCAGACACCATAGCCAGAGATCTCCATCTACCAACCTGCAGGTTGGCAGCTCCAAGCAGAATAAAAGGATGCACATCCCTGTTCTCAGGTGTGAAATGGGGGAAGCTTTCTGCATTTGCGGAAACCTTTGCAGATGTTACTCAGTCGAGAAGAAAAGGCTCCCGACTTGGTTATTTGACTTAGAAGCAATCACCCCCCACCCCAGCTGCCCTTTTCATGCTGGTCTCCGTCCTTTTGTTTGATGAGGATTTCCAGGCCTGGCATCCTTTTTCAGGAACCTCCCTGGTGGTGAAGGGAAGCAGAGAAAAATAGACCTCGGGGTTGCCATTCTTTTCGCATGCTCGGCTACCCGCCGGCTTTCTCCACGGCTGGAAATCGCTCTGTACCTACTTGTTCCTCTTATCTCCTGTTCCTCTTCCATTCTTTCCCCGGCAGCACCTGAATAAATCAGCTACCGGCAGAGCTGAACAGCAGCTGAGCTAAAAATAAAATGTGAAAAGGGTGGCGGGCCGATGAAGTGGCTGCTGCTGAGCCTCAAGGAGAGGGATTGCATTTAATTGGGAAACTAAATTAAAAAACTGAGTGGAGGTAGCTTGACTGAAAACAGACTGCTATTCCGCGTCATGATGGGATAAAGAAGAAGAGAAGAAGAGATTGGATTTATACTCCGCCCTTCACTTGGAGTCTCAGAGCGGCTTACAAACTCCTTTCCCTTCCCCTCCCCACAACAGACACCTTGTGAGGTGGGTGGGGCTGAGAGAACTCTGACACAAACTGCTCTTTCAGGAACAGCTGTGCCAGAGCTTGTGACTGCCCCAAGGTCACATCAGCAGGTGCAAGTGGAGGAGTGGGGACTCAAACCCAGTTCTCCCAGATTAGAGTCTGCACACTTAACCACTACACCAAAATAAAGGATTTGCTTGGTCATAAGAACATAAGGGAAGCCAATGTTGGATCAGGCCAATGGCCCATCCAGTCCGACACTCTGTGTCACACAGTGGCCAAACCCCAGGTGCCATCAGGACGTCCACCAGTGGGGCCAGAACTCCAGAAGCCCTCCCACTGTTGCCCCCCCAAGCACCAAGAATACAGAGCATCACTTGCCCCAGACAGTGTGTTCCATCTATACCTTGCGGCTAATAGCCACTGATGGACCTCTGCTCCAGATGTTTATCCAGTCCTTTCCCCAGTTGGGATTTAAAAATCTTTTGGTATCCTTAATCAACTGGACAACAGATTTTTGTTGTTCAGTCGCACAGTTAAGGTACCAGTTGGGATAAGGTACCAATACATTAACAATTTTTATATTTCCACCCACTCCCTCATTTTAAGGATTTAAAAACTCATATTTAAAACTAGGACTACAAAGTTTAACTAACCTGATTGCATAATCAATTTAAAAATCTTTTGGTATCCTTAATTAACTCGACAACAGATTTCCCCTCCCAAATGTTTAATTTTTTTTAAAACACAAAGCAATTAGATGGCAAATGTCATCTTAGAAGAGTCATTCTACCTTCTCGCATTTAGAAAGAGGAAGGAATATCTCTCCTAAGACAGTAACAAAAGGACAACAGATTGCCCCCTCCCAAATGTTTAATTAGATGGCAAATGTCATTTTAGAAGAGTCATTCTACCTTCTCGCATATAGAAAGAGGAAGGAATATCTCTCCTAAGAGACTGCAGCATGTAATGGCAAAATGTAAAAGTATGTTTCTTTCAGTAATTATATTCACAGTCCAATCTATGCAGCTTTAACTGATTTAGTAATCAGTTTACTCAGAATCAGCTAAGATATCTTTAACTGGATGCCAGCCCTACTAAAAGCCACAAGTAATGTCATGCATGCCCTGTAATACTTGGTGAATTACCTAAGGTTGATCGGTTGGATGAGTTTGATTGACATTTAGCATGTATTTTGAGAGCTCAGAATGGTCTGTCTACAGACACACACATACACCGAGCACCCCCTACTGACACAAAGGCTTACTACACCCCTGTTCCTTCCATACTTTTTTTAAATAAAAATTTTATTAAGTTTTTGATACAATCAGCAAAACTGTAACCAAACATGTTCGCTGATAGATGCCACAAGCGTTACTCTTCTCCAAGCAATGGGTGGACTTGTCCTGACAGAAGAAATGCTTGAATTAGGAAACAACTATTTCATTGGTGAGTTTTGGTTAAGTTCTAGATTACAGGTTGCTGGGTTTTTTGGTTTTTTTAATAAAATTTTTATTACGTTTTTGATACAATCAGCAAAATTGTAACCAAACAGCTTTACAAATGAATATAAATAAAAATCAATTTAAACTAAAACATAGTAATGAATTAAATAACTTCAACTTGTTAACTTCTGCGTTCCAAAAACAGTACTGTTGACAAACTATATAACTTAGCTTTTAGGCCTATACCATGTCTGGTGAATACGTAGGTAAATATTACTGACTTCATAAACAGGTGAGTATTTCTTTGTATTTGGTTGGAATATGACTTATTTGAGAAGAGTCATTTGTCTGTATATATTCTATAAAAGGAGACCATTAACCAAGCAAATTTGAAGATGACCTTTGTTCTTCCATCCTTCTGATTGAATCAGTAATTTTGTCCATCGCTAGCAGTTCCCATAGCTTATTAAACCATCTTGAAACAGAAATAACATTGGGGTCTTTCCAGCTTGAGGCACTTATAGTTGCAGACAGTAAAGTAGAAATGAGTTCTTGACATATCTTAGGGACCTTGTTGTCCCTCCACAGGTCTAATAAGACAAGATCTGGCATTTTATCAATATAGTATCCTGTTATAGTTTTAATGTAAACAAATATTTTCTCCCAAAACTCTTTCACAATAGAACACTCCCACCAACAGTGGATAAAGGAGCCCCTTCCATACTTACCTGCCACCTCTTCCAAATAGTCCACAGGCCAAACCAGATGTCGGTATCATGTAAGGTGGGAAAACTTCTTTGTTTTTCTGAAAGGTATATGTCTATTTATTATGTCACTTGGTTCATGAGTTACAGCTCAAATTAGAAAAGGTAGAAAAATTGGCTTTGGCTGAGAGCCAGCATGGTGTAGTGGTTAAGAGCGGCGTACTCTAATCTGGAGAACTAGGTTTGATTCTCCACTCTGCCTCCACACGAAGCCTGCTGGGTGACCTTGGGCCATTCACAGTTCTCTCACAAGGTGCCTGTTGTGGGGAGAAGAAGGAAAGGCGATTGTAAGCCGCTTTGAGACTCCTTAAAGTAGAGAAAAGCAAGATATAAAAACCTCCTCTTCCTCTTCTTCATCATCATCAAAAAAGCTTAAGCTACCAACCAGAACAGGTTATCACATCAAAATATAATACATAGACATACCCCTTTCAGAAAAAAACCCACAAAGAGGTTTTGCCACCTTCACTGATACCGATATGTCAATGTTTGTCTCTTGGCCCATGGACTAATGACTGGAGGATCCTGAAAAAGAGACACAGGAACTTAAAGCAAAACTGATTTTTCTTCCTTCTACAGGTTTCTGGAATGGAGCTGGTGCCTTGGTTGTGAGCAACATGTTGCAAATGCACTGAAGGGCAAGACAGGGACCACAGAGAGAAGGCAAAACTGTGGCACTCTTGCCCAGGAAGGGACCGTGCCGGATAATCAACACTGTATTCAAGTCTTGGAAGACACAAATGTTACACCATACTGAATTCTCTAACTCCTGCCACAAAATTAAATAGAAAGTAGAATATCATCACCTTTCTCGAGTGGGGAGCCTTCCTTAACGGAATATTTACAAGTGAGCACAGCAAGCCAAAGCAAACATTTCCGGACTATTTATAAACCGTGGAAGGAGTATTTGTAGGCAGCATTAAAATCTACAGCAGAACGAAATCCACTGATCCGGAAGAAGGTGTCCTCTGCTCAGTTCACACTAGGATCTGGGCAGCTCCAGTTTAGCAGCAGCCTTGTCTGAGGAAAGAACCATGCCAAAAATTTGTCAGCTCTGCCAAGGTTTTGAAAGAGTGGGGCTTCCCAAAGGACTGGCAAGGGACAAGCCAGATTGGAAACCCCTGATTTTGGTAGGATCCCTGTGCCGGTCTGGGGCAGAACGTCATCTTCGTCTGGGGAAGGCTTGACACCAGACGGATGAACACCACCTTCCCGATGAAGGCCCACAAGATGGTGGGATCAGGGCTGGCCACGGTAGGCAACCAAAGTCATGGGAAACTCAACAGTGTAGAGGAGATCTTGGCTGGTGGTGCAACCAACGATAGTTTGCCAGCAGAGGAGGTCTTCCAGTTGCCCACTTTCTCCACCGCTGCCAAAGTCCGAGTGGCTATAACCATAGCCCTCTTCCTTTCCTCTGCCTTCTTCAACATTGTTGTGCTCTGGACCATCACCAAGAAATACCAAAAGAGACCCCATCTTCGAATTCTCCTCATGAACCTGGCAGCTGCAGACCTACTAGTAACCTTTGTTGTAATGCCTTTGGATGTGGTGTGGAACATCACCGTGCAGTGGTATGCCGGTGACGTAGCCTGTCGGGTTCTCATGTTCCTGAAGCTGGTGGCTATGTATGCCTCAGCTTTTGTCACTGTGGTGATCAGCCTAGACCGCCGGGCAGCCATTTTGAATCCCCTAAGTGTTGGTGAGGCCAAGAGGAAGAACAAAGTCATGTTGTGCGTGGCCTGGTCTTTGAGCTTGCTTCTGGCCTTACCTCAGGTAGGTCATGGCAATAATGCTGGGGATGGACTAAATTGGTTTGGGTTTTTTTGTCACATTGTGGATGCCAGGGATCAACCACTGGAGACCTTTGGGTTAACTTTGGCCCACTGTATTGCCATAACTAAAGACAAAAAAGATGCCAGCAAAATGGCAACTGCAGTTGCCATTTTAGGGGATAGGTAATGAGCCACTGGCTTACAACCAATCAATTTCCTTTTCAAAGTGGACCTCCATGGAAACACGTTGCTGAACGGTGTTAGGGTTAGGAAGGAGGGAGAATTGGTAGGCAGTTAGGACAAGAGCAAGTGTGGTGCAGTAGTTAAGACTATTGGCCTAGGACCAGAACAACCAGATTTGAATCCCTAATTCTGCCATGGAAACTTGCTGGTTGACCTTGGGCCCGTCACTCTCTCTCAGCCTAATTTACCTCACAAAGTTGTGAGGATAAAATGGAGGAGGGGAAAACAGTGTTGTAAGCTACTGTGGGTTCCCAGTGAGGAGAAAAGCAGACTATAAATGTAAAATAAAAAGATTACTGGTTCACTCCCACATCCTGACTGCTTTCCTCTTTCTTTCTTGATGGGAGAAAAGAGGTGAAATATGTAATCAAAATGGAAGGAATAGATGGGAGTGGGAGATACTCCCCACAACCCTCCACCTTAAAAGGTGTGGAAATCTGATCACACAGACATACGACGATTGACCTCCAAACTTCCCTGATGTGGATGCTGGCAAATTCTTTTACCTCAGACTGTAGGCTTCCCAAGTCCCCCCCAGGTGGCGGGGAAACCCCCACCCCAGAGGTCCGTTCCCCGGCGCCGCCGGATTGGGCCCCGGGGGGAACTCCTCCCCGATGTGCGCGTCACCTGACGCCAGGCACGCTGGGGGCGGGGCCACGGCCATCTGAGGGAAAACTCAATGGTTTTCCCTTGTATGGCCATGGCCCTGCCCCCAGCGTGCCTGGCGTCGTCATGTCACTTCCGGGTGATGTGCATGTGGTGCACGCGCGCTTTGCGCGTACCAGACGCCAGCCAGGAGCCCCCCGCTCCCGGCGAAGATTGACTTGGCAACCTTATCAGACTGGCTGTCGTTTGTGACTCCTTTATTAGAGCAAACCACTAACTGAAAGACAAGACTGCATCTTGAAGTACCATAAGCACGTACAAGGCTGTACCGTTTCAAAGTTCAAAGCCCTTCAAGATTTGCCTGGGCCTCTAATAGGAAAGGCAGTGTATTTTTCTACAGTGCCTCGCTCTTAAGACACTTTATATATATAGTTATTTTATGAGCTTTCTATCACACTTGACTTTCTAAGAGCTCAGGGTGACATACAGAGGATTATCTAGCTGTATTGCCGCAACAAGCCTTTGAGGTAGTAGGTGTTTTGAACCTCTAAGGAGGCATTTGAACTCTGTTCTCCTGCTTCAAAATCATCTCTGTCCATGCCAACCTTGTAAATAGCCTCAACTGTGAGAAGGATTGCCAGATGGTGATTAGGGAGTTGCACAAAAGCGAGTCACCCTCCTGGGGTTCTTTTGTTATTCATTTACCTCATTTAAACCTCACCTTTCTCCTCAGGAAGCCAGTGAGGTATGGTAGGCTGAGAGTGTGTGACTGGCCCATCATCACACAGCAAGCTTCCATGGTACTGTGGGGATTCAAAGAAGCCAGATGTGCTTGACATAGCTACATATGAGTGGGTAACTTTTGTGGAAAGATTTGCAGGATTGCACTATGGCATCAAGTGTCCTGAGGTGAAACTGCACCCTTACATTTAGTCCAAAATGACATCAGCTGAATTGAGTCAGGTAAATGCTCAGTTCAGACATGAAGTCATCGTATCCTATGCTAGAGGAAGCTTAACTAGGGTTTGGTGGGACATCTGAAATCGACAAACTGTGGTTTGCAGCCTGCTAGTGAGCCAGAATCAGAAGCCACCATTTGAAATAGCTTTGCAAAGAGTGGACTGGATCCTACCGATCTGTTCTAGTAATGGCAGCACCTTGCACATGTGCATAGTATCATAATGAGAACATCTGCAGAACCTAGTCCCATAGTTTACTGTGCTAACTACAGTTTGCCATGATTTCTGAAACTGAAACTGTTGGCTTTGCGCCAAATAGGATTCCTTGCAATTAACAATCGTTATGACATTTTCTTAAGGTCTCTTTGCTTTGAGATAACCGTGCCAAACAGATGGGAAAAGGTAGCAGCCATGTTGGCCTTAACTATGGTTTCCGTGCAAACCATTTGTTCAAACTAACCCCCCCAAACAGCTTGCTATGGGGCAAAAGTAGGAAGGCCTTTCTCTCCAATGAGGTGGCCTCTTTTAGGATTTTGAGCTCTGATTTGTCTCTCTGTTGGGGGGGGCGGTGCTTGGCCTTTTCCAGATGTTCGTCTTCCACACCGTCAGCCGCTCCCAGCCCATCGACTTCATCCAGTGTGCAACCATGGGAAGTTTTCGTGCTCACTGGGAAGAAGTTCTCTACAACATGTTCACCTTCTGTTTCCTCTTCCTGCTGCCCCTGCTGATCATGGTTGTCTGCTACTCCCGCATCTTCATCGAGATATCGAAAAAGATGAAGAAAGCTTGTGGTGAGGTCAACATGGGAAGGTACTTCCTTTCAGGGTGGTGGGCATGGGGGAGCAGAGAGCCATGCGTGCCCACTGCTCTGGAAGATGAGCGGGATAAAAAAAAATCTAACAACGTGGAGTTGGGAAGAACCCTTTTGGGCACAAGAACGAGTCGAGGAGTAGAAATAGGTGGACAGAGGTCAGCGAGAGGAAACTTTTGGGGGGCAGCTGAGTTGGGATGAAGCAAGGGTGTAGACTTTCCAATTTCCCGGGGGGGGGGGCTGGGGCTGGGCCAGAGGCATTGCTTTGCTAGGAGCAAGGGTGGCTCCCGGGGGAGGCTGAGCACCTTCCTGAAAATTTCGGCGGGGGCTAACGCCCCACCGCCCCCACAAAGATTATGCCTATGGGATGAAGTGAAAGTCACATCTGCTTCAGCCTTGGTTTAGTAAAGGAATGCAGGGAAGAAGGTCTAAGTTTGTAAAACGTATTAATGGAACCACACATATGGGGAAACACAGAAAGAGAGTTGGGATAGAGAGCCATTACTGAATTATTCTCTTTGTGCCGGGTTTGTTTGCCAGGGGCTGAGCCCTGGGGTGCAAGAGGCAGTGTTAAAGACAGGATTGTCTTTGGACGTGTGCAGAGGCTCCGCACTCCTCCCAGAGTCACAGAGCTGTTTAGCTGAGAGAAGCTAGCGAAGCGGGTCACTGGAGGCTTATAAAAGGATAAATAGAACACAAAATGGAGAGACTTCTCTCCCATAACAGTCAGGCTAGGGAATCACTTAATGGTATCAGTGGGCAGCAAATTCAGCACAAGGAAATACTGGGTTGGATTCAGACTCAATATCTGCTAACGGTGGTGGTGGTGGGGGGTGTCACTTCCACCAGCTCTTCATTCCCACTGCAGAAGCCCCCCCCCCCCCGGTCTGCCTCTCATCACGCCATTCCTGAGGGTCCCTTATTTACCCAGGAGCAGCATTTCTGGGAGATCGATGGACTGCAGAGGAAGGAGAAACGGCACAAAAGTTGCTCCACTGGCAGAAGTGTTTTCCATTAGCAGAAAATGTAGTCTGGATCCAACCCGCTTTGCGTAACACTAAATTGGGGGGGGGGTTGTTGTTACTGAAAGATGCAGTGCTGGCCACTAGCTAAGATGGCCTTACGCAGGGATTAGATGGATCCATAGAGAATGAGGACCCTCAGCAGCTATTGGACGGGATGATTAAATGCAGGGCTATTTTTGGGCAGGAACAGAGTTCCTGCTGGCTCCTGAGTTGGCCACGCCCAGCAGGAACTCATTAGCATAATACGCCACACCTAACAGCAGACACTCATTAGGATTGGCTACATTAGGGGTGTGTGGCCTAACATGCAAAGAAGTTGCTACAAAAAAAGCCCTGGGTTTTGACAACAAAGTAAACAGAATAAGAAGCAAAAGGTGGGTGTGGTTGGATGACCACACTTCTGGTAACATGTGGGGGGTAGCCTAATATGCTAATGAGCTGTGCGGTCAGGGGTATGGCCTAATATGCTAATTGTTCCTGCTGTTGGGTGTGGCCTAATATGCTAATGAGTTCCTGCTGGGCTTTTTCTACAAAAAAAGTCCTGATTAAATGGAACTCCCGCATTCCACAGATTAGCTGGAGGATGACAAGCAACGGAGGAAGACTGTCTTGTGGGCCACCTAGAACATTCGCCCCCTGCATTTCGTATGGCAGCCTATTTGTTCCCTTTCTCCTCCCTTAGGAACCTCCATCCCTTTTCTCTCGCTCATCTCCTACTTCCTTCTGCAGCCACACCCAAGACCAGAGAGTTCCACCTTCGCCGCTCCTACAACAACATTCCCCGGGCGCGCATGCGCTCCCTGAAGATGTCCGTCGTCATTGTCTTGACTTTCGTCGTCTGTTGGACACCCTACTACATGCTCGGCCTCTGGTACTGGTTCTCCCCGGAGATGCTGACCAGAGAGCAGGTGCCCCCTTCCCTCAGCCACATCCTCTTCCTCTTCGGCCTCTTCAACGCGTGCCTTGACCCCCTTATCTACGGCCTCTTTGCCATGCACTTCCAGGTAGAGAGCCGGAGGAGCTGCTGCTGCAGCCGGAGGAAAAAGGAGGTCGCCCCCGTGTTGACCGGCTCTTTCCGCGCTTCCCCTGTGATGCCAGTGAGGCGGCCGGAGGAGATCCGGGGAAAGTGCAAAGCAGAATTTACCGTGACGGAAGGTCCGCCCGGGGCAAAGCTGTCGCTGTACAGGAGGAAGATGGCAGAGAGCTTCATCTGAAAGGACGGAAGGAGACGACCGTCTACTCCATTCTCTCCCCTGAATATTTGGCCTTTGCCTCTGGGTGCAGCGCAGGCGGCTGGATGGCTCTAGTGCACCTGACCGTAGACTCAGAAAGTTTCCACATCCATAGTTCTAACCGTTGATGCCATCAACCAATAAACACAGAATATTTTCTCAATAAGGGTCCTATTGTCTCTTTGTTACCACCGATGGAGATAAGCTCTATGGTGTGGCCTCATTTTGGATACTATAAAGTACTGAGGCTGATGCGTTGAAGAGTGTACAGCTCATACTTTATTTAGTTACAGTCAGATCTTGAGATGTTTTAGCCGGTGGCAGGCCAGCTTATATTCCCGAATCACACCACACCCACATGATAGGGTATTTACAGTGCACCCCTATACCCATAGGTCCAGAGGTCGTTTCGTAGAAAAAGAGCTAGGGGAAGTCATTAGCATAACTCATTAGCATATGCCACACCCCCTGACATCAGGGGCCCGGTGGTGGACCTGCAAGGCCAGCGGGACTGAGAGGAAGCCCCGCCAAGGCCCTCCCTGGCCCCAGGCAGGCAGGGGTGGGGAAAGGCGAGGAGGAAGCAACTTACCCTCCCTCTTCTCCTGCCTCCTCCTGGCTGAATGAGGGCCGGAAGTGGGGCAGCTGGAAGCAGGGGGCGGGGCTTCGTCGTGTGCCCCGTCCCCCGCACCTCACCCAGGGGGAACTGCGTTCCCCCGCGATCCCCCCCGAAATGACCTCTGCATAGGTCCCTTCTAGGATCCTAGCCTCCCGATAGGTGCGCGCTAGGATCCGTTCTGGCTATTGTCTTTGGAGACGAAGCTTGGGCCCTTTGCCTGACCACGTGCTGACCAATGTTCCCTCTAAGCTGTGGAGTCTTGTGAGCAAAAAATCTACTTTGTGAGCTACTGGCATTACAGTCATGAGCGAGCGATTTGGCTACTGCATGAATTAGTTTGCTCTGGAGCCATCCCTTCCTGAGCTAAGACAAAAAAAAACTGCGCCGGAGGCTAAAAAACTGTGAGCTAGCTCACACTAACTCAGCTTAGAGGGAACACTGGTGCTGACCCAACCACACGCGCGGACTTCCCTGGGTACACAACAGATACTATGTACAGTTCTGCTCCCCATATCTCAAAAAGGACATTGCAGAGCTGGAAAAAGTAGAGGAGAGCAACCGAGATGATTAGGGGGGTTGAAGCACCTTTCCTGTGAGGAAAGGCTGAAGAGTCTTCAGTTTAGAAAAGAGATGACCAAGGAGACGACGACACTATAGAGGTTTATAAAATTAAGCAACAGGTGGAGAGACTTGACAAATTTTACTCCCTCTCCCAAAATACTAGGAATCGAGGGCTTCAAATGAAGCTGGATAGGCAGTAGGTTCAGGACAGACAATAGGAAATACTACTTTACACAGAGAGTTGTTAAAATGTGGAATTCGCTACCAGAGGATGTAGTGATGGCCACAGGAATAAACAGCTTTAAAAATGGATTTGATAGATTCATGGAGGGCAAATCCATCAATGGCTACTAGCCATGGTGACTGGGGGGAACCTCCCCATTCAGAGCCAGGAGGCAACATCAGGGGAAAGCCTCACCCTGTTCCGTTTTTGGCCGTCCAGAGGTACTGGCTGGTCACTGTGTGAGACAGGATGCTGGACCAGATGGACTATTGGTCTGATCCAGCAAGGCTCTTCTTATGTTAAGGTCAAACTTACTCACATATACTGTTAGCTCTATACCAGAAAGATTAATCCAATGAATGGGAGAGTGCTAATGAAAGGTAACTACAGGCACCACAGTCTAGCATGACAAATCCCCAGCTTGGGGGGGGGGGCATAAAGAGCATGCCTGCATGCTAAGAATCCTCCTGCAGCTGACAGTTCCTACAACTGCAGGTAAAAAGGTAAAGGTAAAGGTTCCCTTGCTCGAAAACCAGTCGAATCTGACTCTAGGGTTGCAGTGCTCATCTCCGTTTCAAAGCCGAAGAGCCATCATTGTCCGAAGACATTTCCGTGGTCATGTGGCCGGCATGACTAAACACCAAGGCGCATGGAACGCTGTTACCTTCCCACCAAAGTGGTACCTATTTATCTACTTGCAATTTCTTGCTTTCGAACTGCTAGGTTGGCAGGAGCTGGAACTAGAGACGGGAGCTCACTCCGTCATGCGGCACCCGGGTCTCGAACTGCTGAACTACCGACCTTCGACAGCCTGCAGTTCAGTGTCTTAACCACTTGAGCCACCGCAGCTCCTTACAACCGCAGGACCCACCACTAAAAAGACTGCTCCACTTTGTCCCTCAACTGCTTGTGTTTCAGGCCTCTCGTAGGTGAGGTAGCTGGGCTCACTGACATAAACCACCTTCGGCTACTTTGTAAGTGCTGTCCTATCATGGCATGCAGGGTTCAGGATTCATGAAGCTGATTGGAGGAGAGTCAACGGTTCTCATACTAGGGCAACATTCTACGGAGGGTTCAAACCTTAAGGCTGCTAAAGCTCTGGGATGCCTGAGGCAAAGGCGGGTGTTCTCCCACCCCCTTTCCTATCACTGGTGTTAGAGAAGCGCCCAGGCCCAGAGATGCCAGAACGTGAGAGCACCTTGCAGTTGTGTTGCAAGGATTTCTGCTGTGGAATGGATGTTTAACAGCAGGCATGGGAACGAGAATAAGTTTAAAAATGGAAGGCTCTGAGCCCAACGAACTGAAAAATACTGGGCTAGACAGGATGTCCCCCTGCCTGCTCTACAGTTTGGTCTGAAAGCCTCTACCCACATTAGAAAAAAGGAAAGAAAATGCCAGCGGTGGGAGGAGACACCTTTGGGGCAGGAGCTTTTCATAGTGTGAGGTAACAGCGTCACCTAGTGGACAGAGCTAACCCTCACGCCACTTTTAAGTCAATCCATCCTTAAGGAGTCACACTAACACCAACCAGTTTTTATTCTAGCATAGAATTTTCATAGGCTAAAGCCAACCCTAAAAGAAATCAACCCTGACTGTTCCCTGGAAGGCCAGATAATGAAACTGAAGCTCAAATACTTTGGCCACCCAATGAGAAGGGAGCACTCACTGGAGAAGACCCTGATGCTGGGAAAGATTGAAGGTCAAAGAAGACGGGGATGGCAAAGGATGAGATGGTTAGACAGTGTCATAGATGCAACGAACATGAAGTTGAGCAAACTTCAGAGGACAGCGGAAGACAGGAGGGCCTGGCGGGAGCTGGTCCATGGGGTCGCGAAGAGTCGGACTTGACTGTGCGACTGAACAACAAAAGTACAAGCGGGTGGCGTGGAAGAGCCGCCTGCATGACAGAAAAGCTCCCTGGGTTGCGGGGAAAAGCAGTGCCAGGAGCAACACAGATCTGTGGGACCCAACCCACTGTATAACGCCCTCTGAAGATGACCCTGCAAGACACATTGGGAATGCCCTGTTAAAATAGTTCTGCCTCTTTCGACCCCTGGAGATGAATCACCACCAAAGCATGCTTGCACACACACGCACCCTGATAGCCTCCAGACTCAGAGGCAGCCATGAGCAGAGCTGTGCAACCCCTTCAGAGGTATAAAAACCCTTCTGGGATTGAGGAGCTGCTGTGTGCATCCAGGGGCCTGTTTAGGCTGGCTGGAGAAACACCTGGGGGTTCTGGCAGAAGCAGCTTCATGTCGGCTGCAACCCTCTAGGTACTGGATGTGCCATGCTCCCCCAGCATAAGAACATAAGAGATGCCAGTGCTGGATCAGACCAATGGTCTACCCAGGCCAACACTCTTGTGTCACACAGTGGCCAAAAATACCAGGTGCCATCAGGAGGTCCAGCAGTGGGGCCAGGACACGAGAAGCCCTCCCACTGTTGCACCCCCCCCCAATGCACCAAGAATACAGAGCATCACTTGCCCCAGCCTGAGAGTTCCTGTCTATACCTTATGGCCACTGATGGACCTCTGCTCCATATGCTTATCTAATTCCCCTTTGAAGCCCTCCATGCTTGTAGCCGCCACCACCTCCTGTGGCAGTGAATTCCCATGTGTTAATCACTCTTTGGGTGAAGAAGTACTTCCTTTTACCTGCTCAGCAATTTCATTGAGGGCCCACAAGTTCTTGCATTGTGAGAAAGGGAGAAAAGTAATTTTCTCTACCTGCTCTATCCCATGCATAATCTTGTAAACCTCGATCATGTCACCCCTCAGTCGTCGTTTCTCCAAGCTAATGAGCCCCAAGCACACCTTTCTTTATAGGGAAAGTGATCCAAACCTTTTATCATTCTAGCTGCCCATTTCTGCACTTTTGCCACTGCTATAATATCCTGAGGTGTGGTGACCAGAATTGCACACAGTATTCCAAATGAGGTCGCACCACTGATTTATACAGGGGCATTATGATACTGGCTAATTTGTTTTCAATTCCCTTCCTAATAATCCCCAGCATTAGCATTGGCCTTTTTTATTGCAGTTGCACACTGTCTCGACCTTTTCAGTGAGTTATCTACTACGACTCCAAGATCTTTCTCTTGGTCAGTCTTTGCCAGTTCGGACCCCATCGTGCATTTGTATTTAGGATTTTTGGCCCCAATGTGCATCACTTTGCACTTGGCCACACTGCACCCCATCTGCCATGTTGATGCCCACTCACCTCTCCTTGACAGATCCCTTTGGAGTGCCTCACAATCCTCCCTGGTTCTCACCATCCTGAACAATTTCATGTCATCCGCAAATTTAGCCACTTCACTGCTTACTCCCAACTCCAAATCGTTAATGAACAAATTAAAAAGCATTGGACCCAGTACTGAACCCTGTGGTATCCCACTGCGTACCACCCTCCACTGTGAAAATTGCCCATTTCCTATTAGCCAGGTTTTGATGCACAAGAGGACTTGTCCTCTTATCCCATGACTATCGAGCTTACTTAGGAACCTCTACCCCGCCAGCCTGGTCAAAGTTTCACACTCAACTTTGGCTGTGAGGAGGGAAGGGAGAAGGAAAAGAGGGGTGGGTGCATTTAAGGGCTAGCATTTTGCTCCCAGCCGTTCAAGGCAACCCAGTTAACAGCGTGGCAGGGATGGGCTGTGGGCTGAGTGGCAGAGCTGCCTGGTGTGAGAAAGGTCCCAGGCAGTGTTCTCTCTAAGCTGATGGGCTGTGGGCTGAGTGGCAGAGCTGCCTGCTTGGTTTGAGAAAGGTCCCAGGCAGTGTTCCCTCTAAGCTGAGTCAGTGTGAGCTACCTCAGTTTTTTAGCCTCCGGCTCATACATTTTTGTCTTAGCTCAGGAAGGAGGGCTCCAGAGCAAACTAAGTTATGCAGTAGCCAAATCGCTCGCTCACAACTTTAATGCCGGTAGCTCTCAAAACAGAATTTTTGCTCACAAAACCCCACAGCTTAGAGGGAACATTGGTCCCAGGTACCACCAGATAAAAGTAGCTGGTATGAGGTGATGTGAAAGACCTCTGCCGGAGACTCTGGAGAGCCACTGCTGGTCCGAGTAGACAATACTGACTGATGGACCAATGGTCTGGTTCGGTAGAAGGAGGCTTCATAGGTGAGCTAGCGCATCACAATCTCACTCATGACAGCAAGAGCCTTTGAGTGACACAGGAGGCTTCTACAAACCATCCTCGGGGACTAAGGGAATGCACGTTGCACGTCTGCCCTGCCTGTGAGAGGAGCTACTGTGGATAATATATTTCAGTAGGCTACTGAGGAGTCTCCGGTCATTATTTTAGAGTTAGGTTTGGATGAATCTAGCAGGGATAAAGAACCGCTGCAAACAGCACTCTAAATAACAATGAAGACTGGGACAGATGATGTCAAGGATTATGCCTCTGCTCCATGACAAATGTATTTATCCTTTGCTATTTTAGCAGGAGGGCCAAGGCAGATGGAATTCTTCCCTAAGCTCTCCTTGCCCTCTTTCCTTTTACATCCTGTGTGAGAGAATAACCTGTTGTATGATATCATGCAACACCTCTGTACACTTAACCACCTGACTTTCTATTTACAAAGCAATGCCTAGTTTTATCAGAGAAGACCAACCCACACACCGGTAGACAGATTATATTCATGAATACTTTGAAGCCCAGCTTTGTTTGTTTAACATCTGGGAGCTTCCAATTCCTGAGAAATAAAAGTATCTTCCAGTGAGAAAGGACAGTGAATTGTGCCATGCCAACTTTGCTTTTAGCATTTTCTTCTCCGTGTTGGTGGAACCCCCCCCCCCCTTTTTTTTAGATACCTGCTA